TGACACCGAACTGGTGGTCGTGGACGTAGTGGAGCAGGCTGGCAGGGCCCGTTTGAGCGGCCACAATGCCGCCATCACGGACGCCCACTTCCTGCAGCGACTGGTGGACGAGAGCATCGTGGTCAGCTGTTCGAAGGACACACAAATCAAGTTCTGGAACTTGGAAACGCAGTTCTGCTTCAAAACTATCGTAGATAACCGCACCGAGGTCTGGGCACTGGCCTTTATTGGAGATCTGATGGTTGCAGGAGCCGGCGAGAGCGGCATGAATGTGTACCGCCTGAGAAAGCACGATGGCGCCATCACAGGAACTCTAGAATCAGCCGTCGAGGGCCTGTCCATTGAAGACGAGGACACAATAAGTCCCATTAGCGTAAGCAACTGCGGTACTATCCAGCGGGCTGGAAAGGGTCGCACCGTCAACCTGGTGACTGATCCCAGTGAACGGGTGCTCACCTGCCACGGCACCAACGATTTGATCGAAAACTTTTACATCTGCACGCCGGAAGAGGTGAAGAAACGTTTGGCCAAACGCCTCAAGAAGGAGAAAAAGACTGCCGAAGGGGAAGGTTCCGAAGAGCCCAAGTTGTCAAGGGAACAGTCTTTGAGCGATGAAATCAAGCGACTGGAGAGCATCCGGGCCAAGCAAAAGATAAAGTCAATTGATGTGGTCTTGGGCCAGAACCAGGAGCTGCGTGTGCTGGTCAGTCTGGCCAACAACAGCATGACTTTGTACTCCTTGGAGGCGTCTATCAAGACGCGCAAGGCCGCCGATCCCAGCGTGAAACTGCTGAGGTCACTCACACGTCTGGGGCATCAGTCGGAAGTGCGATCCGTGTGCTTCAGCAACGATTCCCTAGCCGTTGGATCGGGTGCCGGAGAATCGTTTAAGTTCTGGGATCGCGATGCCATGCAGTGTCTGCGAACTGTGCCAACGGATTACATCCTCTGTTCAAAGTTTGTTCCTGGCGATCACTATGTCCTTTTGGGCATGAAGAGCGGCAAACTTCTCATTGTTGATGTGGCAGCTGCTGATATTGTGGAGGAGATTCCGGCCCACGAAAGCGAACTGTGGTCCATTGCAATGTTGCCCGATCAAAAAGGCTGCATTACTGGCAGCGGCGATTCCACGCTCAAGATCTGGACTTTTGAGCTGATCGATTCCGGCGAAGGCGCTGCTCAGACCAAGGTGCTGTCCCTGCTGCACAAGAATACGCTGAAGCTGGAGGAAACCGTGCTATGCGTGGGCGTTAGTCCCGACATGAAATACCTGGCTGTGGGTTTGCTGGACGCTACCGTTAAGATATTCTTCTTGGACACATTCAAGTTCTATCTATCTCTGTATGGCCACAAGTTACCCGTGCTCTGCCTGGACATCTCCTACGACTCCAATCTTATTGTGACCGGATCGGCAGATCGTAACGTAAAAGTTTGGGGCTTGAACTTTGGAGACTGCCATCGCTCGATCTTCGCCCACGACGATTCGGTGATGAGTGTACAATTCATACCCAGGACGCACATGTTCTTCACTTGCGGCAAGGATGGCAAGGTGAAGCAGTGGGACGGCGACAACTTCGAGAAGATTCTTACTTTGCCTGGACATATAGGCGAAGCGTATTGTCTGTCAGTATCTCCAAACGGTCGGTACCTGGTCACCTGCGGCTCGGATCGTACCCTTAGGATGTTCGAGCGCACGGAAGAGACTATTGTGCTCAAGGATGTCCAGGAGGAGGAACGAGAGCAAATGGAGAATGAGCAACTGGCCACGGGCGAGGATAACACAGTACCCCTGCTTCCTGGTCTCAAGATGCCCTCCCGCAAAACAGTTGGCTCTGAACAGTCTGCTGAATCCATCCTCGAATGTCTGGAGATATCGAAACAATACGAGTTGGAGGCGGAAGAGAAGCCGGAATTGCATCCTCTGATGCAGGCGCTGCAGGTGAAGAATCCCGTAGACTTCCTGGTCAGTACCCTTATGCGGATACGTGCGTCTGATTTGGAGGAGGCACTGCTCCTGCTGCCCTTTTCCACTGTGTGCGAAGTTCTTGAGCGCCTGCCCACTCTACTGACCCAGCGACCCGATCAACTGGAGCTGCTCTGTCGCGTCACCATCTTCCTGTTCAAGGTGCACATGAAGCCCATTTCAGCGGCCAAGAACATGAAGCCTCTGCTGGTTAAACTGCTCTCGATGCTCAAGCGAGACGTCGGACAGCTAAGGGATGTCTTGGGATGGAACCTGCACGGCTTAGCCCTGCTCCAAACCGAAGTGGAGCAACGCGACGGTGTCCAACTCTTCCGAGAGGCCACACAGACCCGCAAAAAGCGGGACAAGAAGCGGAGGGAGGCCAGCAAGCGAAGGTTGCAAATACAAATGGCTTGAGACAAAATCCCCTAGACTTACTTGTACAAATACCATTAAACAATGCTATCATTATTTTATGATTTACTGGATTTCTTTATTTCTGTGAACATACTTTAATTTGACAATAAGGAATACATTATAACTTGTAAGCTAAGCTTTGGAGCACTCGGAATTTTCTGTTTATACTTATTAGACTGGCAAAAATGGATCAAGGGACTACGGAGCAAATAAAACGGAGGGCGGAGCTGTGTTAATGGGCCTTTAAAACAAAAAAAATAAAACGTGTTCCTTGACTCGGACTGGAAGATTTTGGTATAACATAAAACGTAGAAGATAGGATGAGCTGGAGAGAAGCGCATTTAAAGAGCAATCAAAATATATTTCCGGCTCAACAAATGCCGGCCTTCGGAAAGGGGCCATCGCCGCCACCAGTTCCACAAGGACCTGTGGAATTTCAGTGATTATTTTTTAAAATAAGAAGGACTAAATCTGATGTGTAACCTACCGCCACAACGTTGGAAGGCACCCGGTGGGCCGTAGCTAAGTTTCTGGATGGTACATTTCTCTATAGGACCTGTTGGCCGGCAGTAGGATGTGTACCTGGCCCAGGGCAACGGTTCCTTGGGCGGCACACAGTTTGGCAAGTAGCTCAGCTTGTACGTAGTGCACTTCTCCATGGGTCCCTCGTTCCGGCAGAAGCCCTGTCGCGGCCGGACGGACTCAGCCCGTGGGAAGCAGGTGACGTCCACCGGCATGTACGACAGCTTGTTCACCGTGCAGCGCTCCATGGCTCCGGTGGGCCGGCAGAAGGCGGTCCGCGGCATGATCGGAGCGCGCCTCACGTGTGGCTTGGCCACAAAGTCGTGCTTCTGTGTGGTCATCGCGTACATGGGCCCATCGAAACGCAGTCCATTCTCCATCGGTATGATGGGAGGAGTTCGCTCTGTGCAGTTTGGCTGATAGGATAGCTAAAGAAAAAGGGAAGGATAAGGTAAATTATATTTATTATATATGCATTATACATGTCCCAAAACTTGTCGGGACGCATAAACACAAAAGCCTTTCACTTCCTATTGAAGTAAAATAGTACTCCCAGCAACGTATAGGAAATAACTTCCCGCTTTATATATGAATTTCCTTAATGACCTTGTCTTTAACTCAGATGTATATTCCGTCTTGTTAAACAAAAGCGTAATATGCTTTTCAATTACACAGGGCATTTTTAACTTCGATGTTTTCTTAGCTAATATCCTCGCTCTCTTAATAATATTATATAATCCTATTATAATTGGTAAAAAATGAAGCATATAGAAGTTTCCACGGAATCTGGGTTATTATAGGTGATTTGCAATAAAAACTATACTTTACCTTCTGAATGGTGCACCTTTCTAGCGGTCCACTGGGCCTGCAGAAAGTGTCCCTGGGCAGGACGGGCGCCGGCTTGGTCCGGGAGGCATCGACTGGCATGTAGCTGAGCTTGTAGACCGTGCTTCCGGAGCCGGAGTCGTTGCCGCAGAAGCGCAAGGTGGTCAGCGGCGTCACCGGAGCGGTGCGTGCCTCATTGCAGTTGGGCATGTAGCTCAGGTTGTAGGTGGTGCAGACATTGGAGTAGCGCGGCGGCACACAGCGGATCTTGTCGGCCCAGGGAGTGGGCTCCTTGGCCGGCAGGCAGACCGGCATGTAGGACAGCTTCTGGATGGTGCAGCGCTCCATTGGCCCCGCCGGCTTGCAGTAGTGCGAGCCCTGGATCATGGCCTTCGGCGGCGGATTCTGGCACACATCAATGGGCATGTAGCTCAGCTTCTGGATGGTACAGCGCTCCATGGGCGCATTCGACGTGCAGATTGCCACTCGCGGCACAATGGGATCCCGCTTCACGATCCCCTTGGGCACGTAGTCGTGCTTCTGGGAGGTCATCGCGTAGATGGGCCCCTCGAAACGCAGACCGCTCTCCAAGGGGATGATGGGTGGCGTCCGCTTCACCGGACACGGCGGCATGTAGGATAGCTTCTGAATGGTGCACTTTTCCAGCGGTGCCGTGGAGGCCCGGATCTGGGAGCATGGCATCACGGGACGGGCCCTTATGTTGTCGCCACAATTGGCGTAGAACGAGCGCCGATAGATGGTGTCCGTGTCCAGCGGGGCTGTGGAGCGCATGAAGTGCGACTTGGGTAGGATGGGCATGGTGCGAGCTGGCTGCTGGTAGCAACATCCGGCATAGTCGCCGCAATCGCACGGCGGACACGTCGAGTTCGGCGGACATGGCGAGAAGTCGGTGGGCGCCTCGCACGGACCACATGCAGTGGGACAATATGTGTTGCAATCGCCGGACATGTCTGCGGATTGGATAACGAATTCCAGAAACTTACGGACAAATAAACAACACGGTTGTAGAACCAACGAAAACAAGGCAATTGTCAAAGGAAATAATTTTGTTTGCTCGGAGCTAAGAACCGGTTGACTGGACTTAACACTTCCAAAACGAATAAAGAATAATTTTGCTCAGACACTTGACGACGAAAAGTTTCCCGATGTGTTCTATATAGGCAAAGATTTTCGAATGAAACTGTGTTCAAAAAGTCTTAGACTGATTGAAGTGTAACGCCCAGGCTACCAAGAAAATTATTTTGAACTGGAATTTTGTGATCATCTTCATTTATTTCAGTTTACATTCTTCATTGCTAGGATATCCTGATATTTAAATAACGATAAGTCCTACAAATTGTGAGGGTAGCACTCTCCAGTAGACAAATCAAAAATCATTCAACTTCACACTGAACTCCCCTAAACAATTTAAAGAAATATTAATACATAGAAACAAAGGGTTTGCATTTTAAATTGGAATCTGTAAATGTGCCTAACTAAGCGTCTAACTAAACTCATTTTAAATAATTAATTATTAAGAGAAATCACGTACATTTTAACTTATTTACAATATTTTTGCCTGTTCTATTTGTTAGATTGTATGGGGCTTGAGGGAATACTTTGAGGATCAGCAAAAAATTTATAATACATAAATATCGATTTATCCAATAAACAAACAATTTCATTTGCGGGTTAAACATAAAATCAAAAATTCAATCCCGTTCATAAGCTGGGGAAGGAAGCAATAAGTGCCATTAAAACATTTTTCGAATTTCTTACAAATAAGTTTTCTTAGGCTATATGCTCGTTTCTTAATATTTTTCGCAAAGATATAGTAAAAATACAATTATATATGTGTGTATATGTTTCAGTTCGCTTAACGTCTCTGCTTATCGACAAATGTTCGGGTATACAATTTATAGATCGCCGACTCTGTACGGTTACAACGTGGGAAGATTGGCAGGCACTTGGTCCAGGAAATTGGCCGGGAATTGTCCCTGACGACCCGCCACCTCGCCGTACAGCCAATCTTCGTTTATCTTATAAAGCACTGTGACCAATTCGTTTTCCTACGGAAAGATGAAATGAGATTAGGATTGCGTAAAAAGTGGGGTTTCAGTGGTTATAACCTGTAAGACGAGATCTCCTTCGACTCCGCCGGGAAAATTATACAAGCACAACGCCGTGTTCAGCTGCGTTTGCGAATGACTCGGTAATGGTGCTGCAGCACTAGCAGCAGCACTAGCAGCAGCACCACCACCAGTGGCCCCCAATGGCACCTTGACGTCCACGTAGTTGACAGGAAAGATGCCCTCACACCCAGAACGTGTGCGTCCGCGAAACCACTCTGGCGTGGGGTGATCCAACAGATAGATTTTCTCACTTTCCTGCAAAAATTGACATTGTTATTATCTAGTTAACATGTTTTAATGCTGGTAAAAACGTACCCTAAAGCTCAAATCCCCTTCCTCGACGCCATCAAAATCAAATAGCGCAATGGCGTAAGCAATGACCTCTTCCTCAACGTAGCCCTGGCTCCCATTGCTCAACGCCAGCGCATCCACTTTCCCGTTAATCACGTCCAACAGGGAGATTTGACCAGATGGCAGCGGTGGCGGCGGTCCCTTGGGCATCGGTGGGGACGGTGGCGTCTGCATTCCTCCATATCCAGCTGGTATGCTAAACCCTGGTGGTATGCCTCCAATAAATGGTGGCGGCTTTGGAGCCTTTGGCTTTTGGGATATCTTCGGTTTGATAATAGTGGGCATGGTCAGCGATTGGGTGGGCGGTAAGAGGCTCTTGCCGTTGCACAATGGGTTGTCCGAGGTGCGGGCCTGCAACTGGTACGTTTGACGCACCGGAGCGGAGCCAAAGCAGTCGACGCCGCCAGGTCCAACGCTATCCACCGCCTCCCATGGATCCAGTGGACTCTGTGTGGATGGCCGCGATCGATGGTAGTCGTCTTCGAATCCGCTCTCCGGCTGCGAAACGCTACCATTGTTGGGCGAACTGAAGTTGCTGTCCGAGCTGAAGCTGTCAACGCTGACGCAGTCGCTGTTGGACTTCTGTGTAAAGGTGGGCGACGAGGGCGGGGAATCGAAGCTAATCAGCTGGGAATCTGCCGTCGGCTGGGAGGCGTAGTGAGAGCTATGGCTACTGCTCGAGGTGGTGGTGGTAGTAGTGCTAGCCGTGTTCCATGCCGCATTCCAATCCACATTGGTAAAAGCTGCCGAGGAGGCACTACTGTTGCTGTTTGGTGTCCCGGCATTGCCGCTGCTCAGGTCGTAGACGCGACTTTGTGCTGCGGCCTTGGTAGCAGCGGCGGATGCCGTGGACGTGGACTTCTTGCGGTGGAAGATGTTCGAGATGAGACTGCCACCGCCGGCGGCTGCCGCTGTCGTCGAAGAAGAGGATTTGGTCATATTATGTCCATTAACCAGCACCTTAGGCGGCGGCGGTCGCGGCGGTGGCATCTTCTTGAAGCGATCATTACCGTTTCCACCAAATGGATCGTCGTCCCAGTTGGTGGCCGGCGTATAGCGTGCCTGTGGAAACTTCCTTGTGATACTCGATCCTCCCATTGGCTCATCGAAAAGGCTACCGTTGTTATTAATATTATTAACGGCGGTCCGCTTGTGCTGTGAATTCTGCGACTGCAGCGGACCCTTGGGCGGTGGCGGCAGCTTGATGGTAAGCTTCTGAAGCCCTCCGCCACCCGCCTGCTGCTGCTGCATGTGCTGCTGCTGGAGCTGGAGACGCAGTTGCTCCAGGCTGGCGTTCGCCCCAGCCGCGGCGCACTGCCCACGTGAACCGGGCGGAGCCGGCGCAGGCCTCGATGGAATGGTCATGCTCTCTGCAATTGAAGAAGCGAAAAAAGGCATTCAATTATCTTTGTCCGCTTAATGGCGTTCTCTAATTAAACATGCAAAATTAGTTTTCTTATCGCAAACATTTGAGTTTTGATAAGCGACAGCCACGACATAAGAAAAGCGGGGAGGGCTGCTTTGAAACTGTTGACTCGCACCTCACCAGTGTGATCCGACTTTCTGTGTCACTTTTCTACTCAAAATTTCCAAAACAAAAACAAATGCGAAATTTTAACGAGTTTGCTGAGTTTTTGTTGGGAGTACAATCTCATACAGCTGGTTAATAAAACTGTGGGATATCTGACATGTGTCAGAAAAAGATTGGGAAACAAGAAGCTAATTTAGGAGACAAACCTTTTATACTCTTACGACCCTTAGTACAGTTTATTTTGTTACTGAACACATAATTATTATATCAATAACAAGCTCGTTCAATGTCTCGTTTTCTAATGAGAGCACCGGATTTAAAATACAGATTAGAACTGTTATTTTTAATCAATGACATTTAACAGAAAGAATAAATAATAAAACATAGGCCAGGTTCTAATTTTAAAATAACAATAACACGGCCGGAAAAAACCAAAATGTTTTTTTACTTTTAAAAATGTAAAATCATAAAAAAATATACTTTTACTTTATTGAAGGGTCACCCCACCATACCTTCTTAACAAACAAAAATATATATATTTACAATGCACGATAAGATTTTAGCTAAAGCACTTAATTCAAGTGGAATTTCAGTCAAGACTTTTAGATAAAATGGCCTCGGACACAGACCTATTAAGTTATTGATAACCAAAATTACTTTTATGATGGAGAGTACAATGACTCACATGAAGTAATGACCTAAAAAAGCTCATTTAATAAAGCGATATCATCGGCACACACGCACCGAGACTTTCAACTATCAACACCTGGCAAAATCGGTCATAATCAGTACGCGTAAACAATCAATCGGCAGATCGAAAATGCTCTTTTATTGTTTTGTATTTACGATGCAATTGGCTAAAAGAAAAAAACAAATAATGAATTTGTTGTTTTCGTTGGGGATTCTCAAAGCATTTACGTCATCATTCCCGCCCACAAATGCTCTTCTGCTAATTACTGCGGTCTTTTCTATTTTTGTTCTTGCTAAAACACGATAAAAGGTAGAAAAGGTGGCAGAGAAATAAGTTAAGTTAACGCCGGAACCAGAAAATAAGTGGGTGGATTGTGCATTTGCCCCACTTGCTGGATTCTCGGTGCCCGGCACATGGTGGAACCGATCTTAAATGCAGCTGAAATGGACTGCATGTGCCATAAGTGGAACATTCCGGAGTACGGAAAACATTCACAATGGCCAGTGATAAAAGCAAAGCCAATGTCGCCCTCTCGCGAGAACAACAAAAATGTTTGCGTAAACAAAATAAACATTTTTAAGTCGCAAAAAAAATGTTGGCACTCAGGGGAAGGGGGATGATGAATTAATGCTGGTGTCATTCAGTAATAGCTTTCGCCGATATCATTATGCTCTAGTAAAATTTTACTGCGTCATACGGAGAATTCCCTGAAGCACATTCCCGGAAAAATATTGACTAATTAAATATAGGAGGAGATGGCGCCGAATACCAAAATCCGCCTCTTGGAGAGGGGAGTATTTTTAATATAAAAACGTTCTAGCATATGGCAGAAATTACATATGTATGAATGTTTATTATATGCAAGCACAAACGGTTCACAAATATTTGTGATTGCTTCCGGTTATTTATAAAATGTTTTCCTTTAAGAATTGTACAGAACTTCAATGAAAAAAGTAGCTTCAAAAGAGCTTGCTGAAATAAACTTCCATAACTTACACTTAGCTATATACAAATGAATATTGCAAACCAAATCTTTGAGTGAGAAAAGTGGAACTGTGTTGTTATTAATAATTAAAAACTAAATTGGTAAATTTCCATACAATTTGATTTGAATTGATCAATCAGACAATCGGATTTTCTTTTTAAAAATGTATACATTTGTCTATAGTCAATGTTCGATCAGTGATTGATCAAAATACAGAACAATATGCCATTTAACGGATCGTCTGTGTGGGCATATGTATAAAAGAACAAAGATCTCATTTTTGGATTTTATGCCAACTTTCAAAACTTTCAGCTGGAGCCATAAACAACCTATCATAACAAATAAGCGTTGCAAGCTAAATTTATGCAAATTTCTCATGTCTTCCATAAGAGACCTCCCGTGCAAATAAAATAAAAACACAAAGGCGAGGGAATGAAAATTAAGCTAAATTTGTAAAAGTGTTTGACTGTTGATTTTGCCCATTATTGGGTAACTGGCTGCCCAAACGACTGACTGTGACGCTTATTACACACACGTTCTCACCGGTTAAAGCCACAATAGATGAGAATGAACCGATTGCAGTTGCAATCTAATTAAAATCACCTTCAGAAGGTGATGATGGGAGAAAGAGAAAGGGAGCCCACTGCCCACCCACCCTCTCAACACCCATTGGACGTTGGAATTGTTGGGATTCTGAATGCCAATTTAATCATTTGCAGCCTTTTACTATTTTTACTATTCGCTTTGTAGGGGCAAGTGCAGAAATTCAAGAGCAAGAGCAGCCTATTCCGACAGATATTTTTACAAATCACAATGGCAATCACGCTTTCCTTTTCCTATTTTCCCCGTGGCGTGGCGTCAGTAAATTGATCAAATAATCACACTAATCGCTGGGGGTAAATCTAAATAATGAGTAAATTGAACTGAACTTTTATAAAGTGCTCCACATTCACATATTTACACTTATAATCAGGGGATTTAAATAAATTAATCATGCATTAAGAGTTAATGAGAATCACATATATTGATCGGCAAATAAACTATGCTAAAATAGGAAGATTACTCAATATAAACTTTAAGCCAAGCGTTGAGTTAATATAACGTTAGTTAAAGAAACAGGTTTCTTTAATTTTGGTAAAGAGTGCTTTAGAGGAATTGTGTTGGACTGGTTAAAAATAGTATAAATGTTGTTTATTAATTCCATTCCTTCTTAAATCATGCTTCCAATTAATATTTCTAAAATGGTTGATCAAAGCTCTTTCTTCGATCTATCAAAAACTTGAAATCAGCTAAGGCCTTCGGGAGTGTGTAATAAAGCTACCTGTATTTCTGCGGTTCAAGCTCAAGTCAAGTCAATGCCAGTCAGCTAACCGGTTTTCACAAAGACTCCCTTTACAACTTTAGATGAGAGAATTAATGCTGTGAAAATGTTTGCTAATTGCTAGTTTCTTTTGGTTTACGTATTTACAGACATAGGTTTTCATGTAACTGATTTCCAGTGAAAATGTTAGAAAACGTCTTATAGGATTGAATGATTCAGTCCGTTGACAGAATGTGTGGGCAAATACGCTTTGTGATACGAGTCACTTGGGTTTGGGGCAACTTTTACTTTGGTATAGCCCATCCTCAAGCTTGACCGCACGTTCCGAGCAAACTCTCACGAACAATGGAAGACGAACGAAAGCAGAACAAAAGAAAGTGACAAACACATCGATCTCGGACGTACATATGTGTGGGGCGGAGCTGATGCATTAAAGCAGAGTGAGAGCGATATTAATAATCGAATGAAGTGGATTGCATTTGAAAGAGCGATTTCCATGCTCTGTTTTTAATAGATTGTGGCCACCCCACCAGCAACCCGCCATTTCTCTTTCCTCGATCTCCTTTCTTTGGCACCGTCAGCCGCAATTGTTGATACTTCGACATTTTCGAGCTTCGCAGCTACAAAAGAGGCGTGACGACCTTGAATGCTTTTATTTTCTCAGCCCACATAAAAACTAGACCACAATCACATTACAAAGGCCTAAAAATGGTCCATTAGTCTGTGAGTAGGGCCACTTGAACGCTCCATGAGCAAATCATTAACCTCTGTTTGACTTATCTTTCTACCTAGACTACACAGGAAGAATAATTTAATTTAATAATCCTATAATGAAATGGATGTTGTTTCCACTTGTCATCTCCATTAAGATCGTTTGCCAATATAAAATGTAGACAGGCGGCAAAACCGTTAGGCCTCAAAAACAATTTATAACGTTGCTTATAGTCATTCTTTCATTGACATTAGGCATTTAGAAATTGTTTTTATCGGAGTCGATATGACATGTTAATTTTAAAAAATCAAATGTTGTTATTTGAGAGCACAAACAAAAAACAAACTACGAAACCCAACCCAAACCCGACCGATGTAAACCCCCCAAAAGCAAAGTAAATAAAATATTACCATCTTTAAATATAACATATTATTTAAAGGGGGACCTGAAAATATTTACAGACAGAATTTTCGATTTAGCCCATTATAAATCATTATTATTTTAATCTTAATCATTTTAAACAAAAATAAATTAACATTTTGTATTTAAAATTATGGAATTAATCTGAAAATGTAAACGGTTTTTGATGTGTAGCTTAAAAATAGCAAACGGGAGCAGCAGCAACATACGCACCCGCCTCAAATGAACAACAAAACGAAGGCAACGCACGACGAAGCGATGAAGTCAATTGAATTTAATGCCAGGCACGACAAGTTAAATGAACTTAAGTAAGAACACGCCTTAATTTTTGGGACTGCTTGTAATTTGTATAATATTTTAACCTGCCCAAAACAAAGTACTCCAAAGAAGAATTGGAAAAAACGTGCCCGTAATTCGTTCATGCAATTAAAGCTATCAACAAAGATAACAATGCAATAATCATTCAATTTACATCAAGTGCAAAAAAGAAGAGCAATGGAGGATGTATGAAAACAGAGCCACGCTTTGTGTGAGTCTTTGTCTTTGAGGTTAAGGTTTATTGAGCTGGGGGTCTGTTAACAGGCAGTCTTGAATAATGAGAACACTTTGTCGTTAGGGGGTTAAAAATTAATTTGATTTTCTGTTTTCGCTCTCCTAATAAGCGTCTGTGGATACAGCTTGAATCTGGTGCGACAACAATCTACTCAAATATACATACGTACACATGGCTGTTAAATATTTGATCAGCAAATTTTAGCGCTTTAAGCAAATGGCCAAAATAAAGCAGCTTCCCGAATCAGCATACTTAACAGAAGACCAGAAACTCTAGCGAAAAATCGTATAAGGGAGACCGGAAAAAGCCGGAGCGAAGACAAGGCAATGACCAAACGCTGAAAACGGGTTTTACGAATTTATTATGATTTTGCATTGTCCGTGCAAGTTTTTCTTCAGTCTTAAGAACGAAAAAAAAAAAAAAAATAAATAGGTGAAATAAAAATTTGCAAAATCCACTGAACCATTCCATATTGTCAGCACGTTTCCTCGTTCGTTGTACTTTTTGTTATATTTTTTCGTTGCCATTCCAGCTCGTGCAATTCGTTCTATAAGCGTATTTGCATACACACAAAGATTGATAGGCAAACTACATTGTAGTTACATATACATATATGTGTTATGCCCACAAATTCTAGACAAACAATGCGGGCTAAAATTGCATGTTCGAATATAAAATATATGAGGAGCTGCAGATGAAATCCATCACTGCGATGTGGAGCCACCTTCCTATCCAATCCACTCGTGCTTTTCATGGCGGGACACTTTTCGAATGTGGGTCAAATTTGAATACAATCAGAGCTAAAAGCTTACATCAGTACCTTTTTTACACACCCACATTTTTGTGCACTCAAATGTGTATCGAGTGTTTCACTTTTGTGAAGAACACTTGCCAAGTGAAAAACAATGTTCAGTTGAAAGGCCTATAAAAAGGATCTTTTGTTTCAGACGAGTCTACTATTTCCATGAATAAAAATTCAGCCGTAAACAGGGAAACTATTTAGCTAATTAGGTAACTTGAAATTCAAAATACCCTTCCGATAATATATAACTTTTAAGCAATGTTATTACTAATATTCCAGTTTGTCTTGATCGTTTATATAAATGCTTTATAATATCATTCATTCATTAAATTTTACTAAGATACAATTTTTAACCTTAAAATTTGGCTGAAAATAATAATGAAAGTTTAGTAATTATCTTTTCCCTTCAAGTACTGTGTGATTTTTTTTTTGGTTTGTAATTTTCCCTTATACTAGCACGATAAACATTTCCTGTTTTTGACGCCTTGGAGATTGTTCTGCGAAGGGTTTAATCACCGAGCAGAGACGCGGAAAAGAGGGTTGCTCGACTGCCACATGGCGCCATGTGAGGATCGGCCGAAAGTCAGTCAGCTGGAAATTGAGGTAAGCACAAATGCAACACCTGCTGCGCCCGAAAGTGACAAAACGAAATCGAAACTCCTTGGGTTTTCTATTTTATTAAGGAAAGAGAAGAAGCTTTAGTCAAGACTGCACAAGAAAATGTTTTTCTTTGATATGATGATACATTTAAGAATTTACAAATTTTTTTTAAACTTAATTTTATAATAAACTATCAAAATGGTATTCATAAACCTAAAAAGCGAGCAAGAAATTTTTACGACAGTGGTGGAACTTGAACTCGGGATTGCATAACGGGCGATGCTCTACGCTCTAGCCCACTATGTCATTTTTAGTGAAAAAATGTGGAATTAATGTTTTTTCATTCAATGAATTTTACTGTGTGGGGAAACTATGCTGTAGTTCCCACTACCAATAGCAGTAGAAAATGGGTCTCTCATCCATAAATGTCACTGTACTCCCCCTTATCGCTAAGCCGCAAGTAAACAGTCGGAACTAACATAGCATATCGGTTTATGCAATATTTTTGTGTTGTACAATAGCTGCAAAGTTTCTTCTTGCTTTACTACTAGTCACCCAGGCAAACATTTAATTAATTAACAAATACGACCTTGACTGGAATTTCAATTAAGTAAATAGCTTGTGCAAACTTCAATGGAAATGGAATAATATAAAAACGAAGTTACCATAGTGATGTGGTTAACTATCAATTGCGGGTAACTAACCTTTTGACGATACCCGATTCGTTCCGATCCGATTCGTTTTGAACGATCCGCAAAAGCTGGCTTAGTAGGTTTTTTGTTGTTGGTTTTGGCGATGCGCCCAAAAAAGGTGGACCATAAAAGTTAAAAGTTAAAGAGAGTGACTAATGCCGCACGCACACAGTCGCAGCTAATTTGTTGTCACACACACACATACGCTCGGGCATCAACTTTGCACTCTTCTCTTCCTCCCTCTCGCTCGCGCATTCAAGGTGGTTAACGAGAGGTGATCCAACAACAACAACAACGGGCACACACACAATAAATAGCTGAACAGCAGCTGCAAATGTATTTGCGCGAACCCGTAAAAACAAAAAGAAAACGGGAGAAAAGGAAGTGCGTTTTCAGCTGCGACAATTATTACTCGTTTATTTCGCAGCGGTATTGCAAAATGTGCGACTTTGCTTAATACTTTTGTTTAATAATACGCACGCACACACACACCAAGGCACTTTTCAATAACAAATTGATTTACAGACGTTCTGCACGAATCATTTCAAATTAAATAGGTATTTAAAAGCGATATTTTGCCTGCCTTGATATGTTTCGATTTGTTTAAGGTGGTGTCGAGTTATTGAATAATTTAATTATTCACCGTATTTTCTGCGCCGCGAACGCACTCGTTATGTTGATTCTGCCAGTATGACCTTTACTTGATAGTTTAAATATATTTCTATTATTTCCAGAAATGTACTAAAATATACCAAGCAATAAATAAATCTTCAGTTACGTGTAGAGTTTATTTAAACATTTGTAGTTTATTGAAAACATGTTAATATACATACATTTATTACTAACAGATTTTTTACAGAATGTTTAAAAATGATGTTGCTAACGTGAAAAAATGACAGAAAAAGTTTTAGAATAGGCTAGAAAATAAAAAATACATAATAAAATTAAAAAAAATGTATATATAGGTTTTTTATTAAATTTATTTTAGATAGTGTTTGTTAAGATACCCCATTTTGTTCGTATTAAAGTATTTTCCTAACGGTGGTTACCCTGCACAATGGGACCGTTTATCCAGTTAAACTCTCTTCCAGTATGACCTCATCACGTCGGCCAAAAAATACCCCCAAATAAAACCCAAGCAGGCTTTGCACATCCCTTCGAAAAAAACACTGGCAACATATTTTATTTCGCCTGCCCAAACGCAGCCGACGAACGCAAAAACGCGCGCACAACTACAAGGACAACAGCTGCAGCAACAAGGACAGCAATCAGTAATTATACATTTTTGACCAGCTGCCGGAATAACTAAATCGAAGCTGCGAAAATGGATGACTCACGCGAAGAAAGCCAGTTCATTGTGGACGACGTGAGCAAGACTATTAAGGAGGCCATCGAGACGACCATCGGTGGAAACGCCTATCAGCACGACAAGGTGAACAACTGGACCGGCCAGGTGGTGGAGAACTGCCTCACAGTCCTCACCAAGGAGCAGAAGCCCTACAAGTACATTGTGACCGCTATGATCATGCAGAAGAATGGAGCAGGACTGCACACCGCTAGCTCCTGTTATTGGAACAATGACACCGATGGATCCTGCACTGTGCGCTGGGAGAACAAAACCATGTATTGCATCGTTTCTGTCTTCGGACTGGCCGTTTAGAGTTGGATTAGGATTCCGAAGACTCGGGACCGGAGGACTTCTAACTCGGGAAATCACCCGGGACTTGAGGTCGATAATTGAAACTAACTGATAAGGGGGAGGGATTAACAAGATTGCCGTCGTACACACATCCACACAACACGAAAACCACACGAACTTTGGTCGGCCATCCTGCTGCAAGGACGAAATTAATTATGAACACTGGAAAACAATATTGTTTCCAAGCAACTATTCGTTGCCAGTGTACACGCCCAATGTTATTCTTGATTTTCAGACTAAAAGCCTAAATAAATAATGTAAAAACAGATAACTCTGTAATTTAGTGATACAAAATAGCCTGGATATATCAATTTAGTTAAAACTGTTGGTGGCGCAATCATATAATATTGGTAAAACTAGGTAGGATTGCTTGAATTGTAAATCAATAGTTTTCATGGCAGCTATTCTTATTTAAAGTCGATTAAATTTAACATTTCAAATAAGTAAGAAACAAATACCACGAAAATATTCATTCTGCAAGTGTAAGCGCCTTATCTTATCTTGGTTTTTGTTCAAAAAGTAAATAAAGTAAGAAAAAGAAGAATAACGAGTTTTGCAATACTTTTTTTTATATTGGCAAACTAGTTAGAATTGATAAACATCATATTAAACTCCTGTTCACTATAACAAAACACTCAAATATATCGTTATTGTGTAAGGAAGTTCTCCAAGCTATATAAGTTCTTTACCTTAAATCGCTAACCACTTATTTCCTATTATTTAGATGGTCTTTTAGTGAGTGAGAATCGGAATTTTACTTTCCGGCGCTGCAAATGCCTTCCCAAATCAAGAAAACACACATCATCTGGATAAAATAAACTTTATTGACCCGCCTCCGGTTTTGTTTAATCGATGGAGGAGGTAACCTTGGAAAACTCATTCTACTTCTTGCGCTGAAAACGACGAGCTAATTTTAGTGCCGGAACCTTGCTGGGCAGCCGCAAGCTGAGAATGTCTGAACGGGATTTCGGCAAGGCATTCACAATATGAGCGTACTGCTTAATTTTATCCTTGCTGGTGGCCAAAACGCGGGAGAGGACATTGATGTCCACCTCGTACTTTTCGCTGATGAGCAAGGACATCACTATGAAGTGCGTAAGCGCCTTTTCAGTACTAAAATTGGTACGAGTTCCGCGTTTGGCCACATTGGGATCAGCAAATCGATGGCGTATATCATTCTCTATCTTTTCTGTGATCTGAGAGAGTTCCACATTCTGCATTTGCCGGGAACGAAGGGAAATCAGTGACTGCAAGGCGTCCATGTATACGATAAGCTTGATGTGCAGGAAGTCTTGCTTGGATGTGCTCGTCTTCTCCTGAATGCGACCCAAACAGGTCTTAAGGTATTCCGATTTAATACTGTAAGGAAAGAGACTGTAGCCAAATTCTTTTGTTTAGTTAGATATACTACTTACGGCAAAGTCTGGGCAGGCGTTGAGAACACCACTTTGGCCTCCTCGTCCAGCCGCTCAAGCAGAGCGCTCGGAATCACATCCGCCACATCGTAAACACCACTTAATTCGGTGGCCTCCTTGTCGAACTTCGGTACTATGGAGGCCAGGTATTCCTCGTTGCTGATGCTTACATCCGCCAAAGAATCATCCTCATTGTCTGCGTTCTGAGTCGATGATTTCACAGTTTCGTCCAGATCCTGACGCACGACCTCCACGTTTACCTTCATCTGTTCGTGGTTGTCCACAAATCGGGATGCCTTGCGTCCACCAAACTCCTTGAGCAGTTTCTTGTTGGCGTGCTCCCTGCTCAACATGGGTACCTTTCGCTTCTGGCGATCCAGTTCCTTGTAAATGTGATTGGACAGCAAGGCCTGTTGCACGGGCACGATTTGTACTTTGTTGGTGGATTTGTTCCTCAGGCAGATGTAGGTGTCGAATTCTTGGCTATCCTGCAGGTCACCTGAGTACACCTGATTTCCGGCCACTACCAGTGCTTGCTTCTTTCGATCCGTAGTGCTCTCCACGGTACAAAAATCGGCGGTGCCCAAAAGTGATCCATTCTGAAATTTCACTGTGGATAGAAAATTTGTGTTATTTCTGTAGTAAATGCAAAACGTTTATTGCTTACATATAGTGGGCAAGTGCTCGTCTCTTTTGTGATTGCAAACGGACTCTATTTGTATTTTATCTTCCATATTTTTAAATATACATATATTGGATAGTTCCCGAGTTCAAAAACAATTCAACTGCAGCACGTGTAGAAAAAGGCAACAGCTGACTGTTCACTGACACAAGCTAAGTGATATGAGACGTGGGAACAAATCACTGGTTGCAAGTGATTTCATGTCGCAGTTAAAAGTTAAAATACAACTGTTCAAGTTATTTAAAAAAATATTGTATTAAGTTCCCACTTTCTAATTTAAAAAATAAATAAATATACAAAAATAACACTTTCCTTATGCATTATTATACCACGTCAACAAAAACAAATGCAATAGTTGAAGTAAAATCTATTTAATTTCAATTTTATTCCACCTTTCCCAACCATTTTCGGAACAAAACAACGAATTAATGAGTTCCTTAGTACAGATTTAATTTTAATTTAAAGTTTCTTGCCTATGCCATAGCAGCAAAAACATTTAAGCTAAACTAAAAAAGAGTTTGATTTATTTGGACAAAATATTATTTAATTGTAGTTCCAATAAAATGTTTAGGGACGTCTGCCGGATTCCGGTAAAATATTGAATCCAGAAAGTGAATAATGTTTGCTTTTAACAATCTTCACCACTTGCTGCAAATGTATTAAGTTTTCAAATAGTTTACTTAAAGATTACAACCAGCGTACCATGACCAGTTTGATAAGAAAAACCGCAAATGTCAGAAAGTTTATAGTCATAAGTGCCGCCTCAGGTGGAAAATCTATCTCCGAATCATCCAGTAAACCACGTCGTCGTCGCCTTTTTCGCTCTGGTGGCTGCCACATAGATGCAAACTGTTGCTCTGTTTGGAAATTGAAGTAGAAAATACATTTTAGCAATATTTTTAATTTAAATAGATTTGAGATTTATCTGTAAATTTTTTTTATTTTCTTATTCGCACCAATTAGTCGCATGAGATTGTCGCGTAGGTTCTGCAGCAGCTTTATCTTCTTCCCGAAAGTCAAAGCAGACTTCTTGATCCAGGTGTTCTGCATGGTCTTAAGGAACTTTAAAAATCCCTGAATGCTGGGCACTTCCATTCCCTCATCATCCGATGGCTGCTCTGTGGTTCCCTCTTCCCCCGATTCCTGGCTCGGGTTTTCGGGAGGGTTGGAAGAATGTCTCCGGGATGTGGTCTCCACTTTTGGGGTCACCACATCCACATTTAGGGTGGGTGCCTTGGTAGAACTTACCATAAGGGGATTATTGATACCAAATCTCTCCCGCTGATATTCTAGCCAAGCGGCACTGGGTGTGGTAAAGTCATCTCCTTGTCGACTATTCCTGGAGAGAATTAAAAGGAGGAAACACTTAACCATAAAGAAGCACATCTTGCCTGCTGGTTTGCTGGTAAAGAACTGCTGGAAAGCGCTGAAGAAGTCTTCCGAGAAAGGTGCCATCCGTCGCAGGCCAGCGATTTGTGATACTGCGGTGCACATTTGGATGATGGTGACAAAATAAACACTTACAGGCATAATCATGGATTGAAATCGTTACAGCTTCCGTTTAAAAAAATGTTCTTATTAATATTTGGAATATAAATATAAATAATATTTCCTTGCAGTAGTCAAAAAAAAATCTTGGAGTACATTTAAATTAGACAAACAAACATCTACTATTTTAGCTACTAAATTTTATAGTCTTACCTATTTTCATGCCTACACTTGTAAATAAAAGATCTTTAAGAGTGCACCTCTTAATTGTTAAGCGTTGTTTATTCAGCTATATTTTCTTGGCCATTAGTTTGGTTGGTGTTTTTTTTTGTACCGTATGGCCATTGGTTCTAAACTGGATCTGAGCTTTACAGTTACTTCTGGGTTTATGTATATTATTTGTGTAGAGTTATTCATAAGAGTTGCCAGTAGGTGGTTAACGAATTAAAGCTATCCACTAATTTTGATTCTAGAGAAAAATTTAGCACACAGAGTTGTAAGTTAGAAGAGTTCATTTGTTTAGCAGTTATCGAAAAGCGAGTTAGAGAGATAGGATAAACTTATGGGCTAGGCAATAAGGTTGTACTGCTATTTAATGTGCCGGCAGAGATGGAACCGCATCCATTTCAGGGCCTTATCGCTCATGGCCTCCGATTTGGGTGAGTTCCCGCAATTCGAAAGCCGATGGCATCCAGCACAATCCGCCGGAGGTGGACGATAGTTCTCGGTGGTGGTGCAGCTCATTGTCTCGGTGGTGCTCTCGAGGATCTCTTCGGGTTCACAGCCAGGTCACATGTCGCCCGCACAGTCCCAGCGGAGGTCATCGGCCTCGTGGGTTAGGTACCTTCCGCCACACACCTGGGTCTCCAGGGTCCGGAGGTCGCGGTACGTCTGCTTGTCCTGCAACCAGCAGTGCAGAAGGCTTTTGTCTACCGTGTACCGCTTGCGTTGCTTCACCTGCAGCAAGTTGTTGATCAGATCAATGGCTGGGAATAAATAACAAATGGAAAAGTTAGTCCCGTTCAAAAAAGCTTTACTCAAACAATTCTCCAAGCCTTTTGCCTTCCTCAAATTCCGACCTACTTATTGTATTGTACTTATTGTATTTGCAGTATGACTTTGCTGTTACTTCTAATACAAAGTTATATAATTTTTAAGGTTTTTACATTATAAAGGAAATGGAAATGAAGAAAATGGTTACATGTGTATTACTACAAGATTATATAATTACAAAAAATGGAGCGAAAATTTTAAATCAAGATTTAAACGCATATTTATGTAGAATTAAACCACAATTATTTTGAAGTTAGCCACTTTAAAATCGGATTTTTGTAAGAAAAGTTATTGGTTTAGAAGTGCAGTTTTTAGACACTTTTCTGCAAAGCCATTTCTCGAAAATTTGAATTTATGAAAATGACAACCCAAGTTAAATAGAATTTATGAGGGTTTAACCACAAACATTAGGAGGTATGCCACTTTGAAATCGGATGAATGTAAGAAAAGCTATGGGCTTGGAAGTGAAGGTTTTAGGGCACTTTTCTGCAAAGCCATTTTTCGAAAATGTGGAAAGGGGTAACATTTAAAAATGACGAAAAATCGACCCAAAAATACAAAACAAGTTGAATACACAGAATTTTTGAGAATTAAACCACAATCATTTAGAGGTGTGCCACTTTGAAATCTGATGACTGTAAGAAAATGTATGGGCTTAGAAGTGAAGTTTTTGGACGGTTGTCTGCAAAAACATTTTTCGAAAATTTGGACACATCACGAAAAGTCGAAAATTTGTAAATGTGAGGCTTAAGAATTTTGTGGTTCGATAAATCGAAGGCTGAAGTTAAAGTTGCAACTCACCATTAGAGGAGATCTCCTTCCACGGATTGGGTGGGTACATGAAGGCCGCGTTCTGAATCTGGTCGTTGATGTCCTCCTCCTCGTTGAAGGGAAAGGTGCCGCTCAAGCTCACGTAGATGATGACGCCCACGCTCCACATGTCCAGCGACCTGTTGTAGCCCTTATTCCGGAGCACCTCCGGGGCAAGATAGGCCGGAGTGCCGACCACCGATCGCCGGAAGGACTTCTCGCCGATAATCCGAGCGTAGCCGAAGTCACAGAGCTTCACCTGAGGGAATTCGGCGTCCGAGGAGAGCAGTACATTCTCCGGCTTGAGGTCGCAGTGGACTATATTTTGCGAGTGCAGGTACTTGAGGGCGATCAGGATCTGGGTGATCAGGAACTTGGTCACACGCTCGCTCAGCCGACCCCTCGCATGCGACAGGATCATCTCCAGCATATCGCCCTTGAGCTTCTCCATCACCACAAAGATCCGCTCCGGGGTCTCGAACATCCGCTCCAAGTTCACAACGCCGCAGTGCGAGATGTTCTGCAGGATGGCCACCTCGTTCTTCAGCTGCGCCTCCTGTTTGGTGGGGAAGCGCAGCTTGTCGATCACCTTGATGGCCACCTCGCGCTGCGACTTTTTGTGCACTCCGCCGTAGACCACGCCGAATTGGCCGGAACCGAGCACCTCGTCCGGAAAGATCTGATACAGTTGGCCCATGTCCTGCACCTGCTCCTCTGACTCGCAGCATTCTGTAAGAGGTAGGAATTCGAATTTAGTTGATTTCAAACACTAAAAGAAGTTCGTTTTGTGGTATAGGAATTCGCAGAAACACCCTTATTACAAGAATTATAAAAACAAGTTAATGAAAAATTGGAAACGTTTAAAATGTTAGACATAATTTGTCTTATTTTCTGTATTTATCAATTTAATTAGTTTACGTTCCCCCTTTTTTGTGGCTTTCATTTGTGTCATAAATCTGTTTTGAATTATGTACAGAAAGTATTAAAATACATTTATCATGACAAAGTTATAAAAAAAAGAATAAAATGTATTAATTTGCGAGCTAATCAAATTTGTAAATTTAAATATTTCAAAACAAATGGAAACCTCTGCCAGTATAGCACTGTTACCCGAAGGCTGACCAACGGGCCGAATATTCCTTCTATGAAAAATTCCCCTACTTACGTGTATTGGTGACGTGCATGAAGGCCTGCCGAATGCTGGTCTCCCAGCTCTTTGCAACATCGCTTCCGATGCCGCTGTCCGGCGGTGGCAACCGGACGGCCTGCTCCTCTTTGGCGCCCACCTGCGGATCCTGTCCGACGAAATAGCTGAGGTTGGGCAGGCGCAGCTCAAAGCAGTAGTTGGACTCCGGTCGGGGATCACCCAAGTGGCTCTCAATTGAGAGGAGCTCCGCCAGCGGCAGCTCCTTGTGGTACTTGCTACCCTGCTCGGAGACAAAGAGTGTGATGGTCTTGGAGTCCAGTCGCCAGTAATACCGCTTGACGGCCTTGTCCAGCGAGGTGTAGTGCACCAGCCAGCCCTCCTTTAAGGCCTGTCCACCCCGTTTCTTAGTGTGCTTGACGGACTGGACGATCCTCATCAGCGGGATGTTGGCACTGGGCGACGAGGAGGTCGAGGATTGGGACTGCTCCGACTGGCCATCACTGCTGGACTTGCTCGTCTCGCCGCCGCCACTGGAGTCGTCCCCGAGGCCTCCGTTGACCAGCTCGGGCGGTGAGTTGTGGGCATTGGTCAGGGCTTTGGGTGCTTCTCTGGGTCGTCCGGCCACCAGATTCACACCCACCGACATGGCCGACTTGTACTTGCCATAGTCAGATCCATCGTCGCCGTCACTGTCGTCGAACTCCTCGCGGAAGAAGTTGTCCCGCTCCCTGGCACCGGCCTGAATCTGCAGCTGGCTCAGCTGCGCCTCACCCGTGCAATCGTGGGGCACATTGTCCATGCACTTCTTGTGCGTGTTGTACTGACAGTCGCGGCACTGGAGTCCCTGCTTGAAGAGTCCCTTCAGCAGCTTCTTGCACAGCTGGCACACCGTGGGTATTCCGTAGGTGTGCACCATGAAAGTGTGCGGAATCCGAAGCACTGTCACTCCGTTCCGGCTGCCCGATGAATGGGTCCGCTGATGGCGACCGGGAATATTCTGGGAATTACGAAAGCAGAGTGGGTGAGCCGGCGTTACTTAATTAGCAAATTGAGAGGCTCTGGAGATGGATTCGCACAGGGTATTCCCCGCGGACTGGACTCCATTAATAGCCTTAATTGGGCAAAACTAATTTTCATAATTTCGTTGTCTACTCTTCAAGCTTCATCCCTGCTCTACAAGTTTTTTCACTTTTTCAACGAGATTTCTAGGAACTTGAATTGGGCAGATAAAAATGGAGAGTTTTAAGATATAGAAAATTAAGTTGTTTACTAATACCACCAGTAATTTATTTTTCTAAAATAAATGTTGCTGTACTTTATCACGATAAGCAGCAAAATGGATAACAAAGTCCCTATTTTTTTTAGAGGATGACTTAATGCTCAGATTTAACTAAATAAATTGTTTAAGCATTAATATTAAGCATTAGCATAAGCATTGAAACTACGAAGGCATGAATTTTAAGAATCTGATAACTGGTTAGTATACGTTGAATGAATTTTCCAATTATATTCTTATTCAATTTTACTTTAATAAAGGCAACTTCTAGCCACCCTTCCTTTCTTTTCCCGGTTCGACTAGTATCCCCCAGTCATTTTCGCAAATCCCCTACGAGTATTCAAAAGAGTTAACAAAGCATTAAAAGTGCGCAGTATAAAAGTTTATTGGAAAAAGCATGAAAATAATACAAAGTAAAAGTGTGAGCCAAGTTAAGTACAATTTGAAATACTCGCAGGATAACCGGAAACTGTCAACCAACACCCTTTCACACCCTTTCACTCGCATTCACACAGACTATAAAAGGTCCTGTCTGGCTGTCAATTCTTAATAATATCATTCATAAGGTCCGACATGCGCTTTACCAGAGAGCTGCTCGAGTCGTTCCGTCCT